TAGCACGGTACGCTGCAGTCTGTTGGCGAGCATCCCCATGTGTACAGCAAACTTGCACTTGGACGATAGAGAGCAGTCAGACCATGTACTTACAATATCTGTTTTCCTAAAGCCCGTCTTTTAGCATTTTAGATCTGTACAGAACCTCTCACAGTGTTGTGACTTCAGGTGTTCAGTAGGACAGGCTACACAGGGCTCTTTCATCCTCTGCTTCAACTGAGAGTCAGCAAACTCAGAGATGTTCAAATCCTAAACACGGGGCTCTGATCTGTAGAAAGGCTGTTCTGTAGGGTTGTTGTTTGGTTCTGCACCTAAATGAGACTCTACATTTTCCTGTCACCAAATCCATATCAAACCCACTCTGTGTCCATCCTTCCTTCCCTGCTCTGACTCAGGAACCTAAACTGCAGCCCGCTGGTTCCTTCTGGAGAACATCTTCAACACGAGGACGAGCAGAATAACTTCTCGTGACTCCTGTTCATTGTGGAGTGGAAACAACCTCCAGTATTCACGTTGATGGAGACGTCTCCTTCTGCAGCAGTGTGGCTCGTTTTGCTGGTTTTAATTATTACACACACTTGGTAGAACGTGTTCAGTGCTGTCTGGGGTCTTACATGGAATTTGTTAACTGCATAAAGAACAACTTCTGGCTTATTATTTAATTCAGAACATGTTGAACCTGGTAGTAAATCAGAAAACCCAACATTTAATTCAACAAACATTAAAAAAACAAAACACAAAACCCTCCCATACGCAGTCCAAGCTGTTGATGTATGCATCAGAAATAGCAGCCGGCCTCTGTAATCCACATTCAGGAGGAATCTTCTCAAACTGAAACCCATAAAGTGCAGCTTCAGCTCTGGGACCTTGTCTAGGTGTGACATTTACAGGAGCTGTGCCACTTCTGTTTACATTTTACAGGTAAGCAGGTATTGTTTATTGCTGACTCAACAGAAACTATCAGTCTTGTAAGCAGCTGAGACATTCTGTAAATGTTGAGGAAGCACAAAGAGAAGGAAAAGAGCAACATGACCTGCACGTCTCACAAAGACTTTTTCAGAATTTAAAACAGCAGAAATAGAGTCAAGCAATAATTCTACTCCCATACGGACACGTAGCCGATGTTATTATACTTGTTGTCTCGTTGGAAGACTGCTCCATGTGCTGGAGACCATATCTACCTGTTGAATGCATGCACACCTTTGCTGAGCATGTGCATTGTTGCCCTTGTACCCGGACTCTTGTGGACGTGGGAAGATATTGAAATGTCCACCATGTGGACCCTCGTGGACACTGACGTAGTGTATACAGCTAGTGCTAACGCTGAGTCATGGTTTCTGCAGCACTGGTGTGGACTTTAGAAGTGGACTACCGATGCGCACTCTGCTCTGTTCTACTTCAGCAGGTTTGCAGGGATGTTTCTGAAAGGCTGCCAGTAACCGTGGATTCACCAATCAGCTCCTCCAGGTTTCATCAATCAGGACTGAGCCTGGTCAAGGTTTGTTTTCAGGGCTACTTAGCAGGACCTGCCCTGGAGTAGGTGCTGTTTTCTCACACAAAATGGACCTGAAAGAGGTTTTACAGAAACGGTTCTAACAAAGGCTCAGATGCCCTAAACTGGGACACAGGTTCCTGCAGTAGAACATCGTCTTCTGTTCCAGAGCAGTTCCTCCTAGACCGTGTTCAGTATGTAGTGGGTAGATCTGACTTGTTGCTTCGCTGTCCTGAATCTAGTTCTGACAGAGAACTGCTGTTGTGTTGGTGTTGTTCTAGTACAACAGTTTCCCTGAGGTTTGCACCAAAGGGATCAATAAAGTTCTATTTTATTCTATTCTATTCTATTCTATTCCATTCTATTCTATTCTATTCTATTCCATTCTATTCTATTCTATTCTATTGGGCACGTCAGAACCCTGCCGGTCTGCTCGCTGATGCCAGGTGATGGACTGTGCAGTGCAGTGGTGGATCTGTGTTGTGTGAGGGGTACTTACGGGGTTTCCATGCTTTTTCTGCAGTGGGTGATGGACAGAGGAGGGTCTGGAAGATGGCAGAAAGACAGAAAAGAGCATCAAGATCAGTCCACATTCATTAAAACACACCGGTAGAGGAGAAGGTCAGCAGAAGGAGGCAAACGGACTGTTCTCATGTTCAGCAGTAATGTTATTTACACACAAGCCTCAGTGCTCATATTTACAGTGAAGAAGATGATGAGAAGCAACTCTGATCCAACACATTTACATAAAAGGTTTATAAAACTTAGATTCCCCAAAGATGACATTAGCGGTGCTGCTGCAAAGCCTGGGGCCGGATTTAAGACGGAGAGACAGCACAGCAGCAAAATACTGCCGTAAATATAATGAGTACAGCTGTGGCTGCTCTCTACCAGTCTGCACGCTGCTCACAGCTTTTATTCTCCAGCCAACCAAATGGTTTGACTGGGACACTGGAGCATGAAGCTACAGCTCCAGTACATGAGTCAGTGAGCACCAGTCGGGTGACCTGAGGTGTCACAGCTTCATGTTCCATGTGTTTGAGGGTAATTCAACAATAAAATGACTCAGCTACCATCAGAACAGAACATCTCCTCTGCTCTGTTTGCTTCAGGGTCCAACAGTCTGAGACCACAAGAGAAGTGTCACAGGTTCAGTGGGCTGGAGGTCAGGAGAGTCACAGCTTTGAGGTGTGTTTGGGCTCATTTTCATGAATCCTTCTCCTCAAAGACACAACCATAGGGTGGCGTGTTCTTCAGTCTCAGACCTGGTTCTGGCTCTGGTGTCCTTACAAACACCCTTTACTGTCACTGGGATTCATCAGTAAAGACTTCATGCCCTCATCACCTGGGACATGCTCTGAGATACGAGCAGACAGCCTTCCTTTGTCCTGGGTTTGAACCTCTGTGTGGAGTTTGCATGTTCTCCTTGTGCCTGTGGATTCTCACTGGATTCACTCTGTACTGGCGCTGTGGCTTCCTCCCACCATCCAAAGGTACGCTGAGGTTACTGGGTGCTTCTAATGGTGAGGGCTGTCTGTACTGGCCCTGTGATGGACTGGTGGGCTGAAGCCTTGTCAGCTGGGATGGGCTCCAGCNTGTGACCAGTATTGTTGTTGCCTGGTGGGAACATTTGGTCAGAAGCATGCAGACAGGTCAGGAGTCTGAGGAGTAGAACCACAGTGCAAGGGGGACGTATACAGTGTGCACGAAAAGGGGGACAATGGCTGGCACACTCACTGAGGACTGGAGGGCTGGGGCCTGTACCTGCCTGTGTCCAGCCCCTCCCAGTAGGGCTCAACGCTGGGAATGAGGCTAAGAGGACTCCTGTAGAGGTGGGAGATCAGACAGTGAGAAGTGGGGAGGAACCAGGAAGCCTGGCACTGAGAGCTACGTTTCAAAGAGGAACAGAAATGAGAGAAAAAGCTGGGTGCTGTTTAGTCGGTTGGGAATGAGAAGCATTAATGAGTCAGAGACGATCAGAGAGAAAAAAAGCATGAAGACAGTAAAGGCTTCACAGAGCAGCAAGAGGAAGCACTTTGAGATAGTTCTCCACGTAGGTGTATGGCCAAGATCTCACACTCTAACACCCTGATGCCAAATTAATTCCCCCTCGTCGTGTCCCGTTTATTTAGTGTTTCACGTCCTCACATC